CCTAAACTGTAAACCGCGTGAATGAGTTCATGAGTCTATATAGCACCTCGAAATCTCCAACGAACCTGTGACTCTTCAGAGGCAACCTTGCTGCATGCCCACACAGTCGTTGTGGTTGATCAGGCTGTGGAAGCTACATGAAGAGCATGCGAGACCCTTAAGGGCGTTAAGACGCTTGAATTCTACTTGTTACATACTCTACCAAGCCCCATCCTCCACACCTCAAGGTTTCAAGTACAAAAGTTGGACCCTGCCAAACCCGACGATGAGTCAACTGAGATGCTCGATGGCATGAACGCGAACCGCAAGAGCGATGAGTCAGACACCCAAGGGGCGGTTACCACTATGGGGTTTGGGTCTAAATCTAAGGCGAGGCATATCTGAACCCTCAGTACGGGGCATGGCGATCCAGACCCCACAGCTCCTTGCAGCTTTGGGCTGCGCCCTCCTCATGGTTTACTTTCTCATTGAAGTATAGATGCAAGGGGCTATAAATGATGATAGCATGTTGTGGTTCAGAACTGTTGTGTGGCTGTTTGCGTGTTCTGCAAAGCTTTTCCCACCTGGAGCTTTGACGAAGGATTTGTATAGCGGGGTCCGATCAAGGGTTGTTGGGTTCAGTGGTTCAGGATAAGGGCTTTCAGGGTTTCGGGTTTAAGGTTCAGGGTTTATACTATACGGTGTAGAGCTTACCGGGATTATGGGTTTTCTCGGGTTTCGGGTTTAAGGTTTAGGGTTTAGGCTTTGGGGATGATAGGGTGTAGGGTTTATAGGGTTTATAGGGTTTAGGGTATAGAGTTTCGGTCCAGGTCTTCGCAACCCGAAACCCCAAAAACCATTCCGAATTCCAAGGCTTCGGACATGTAGTACAATCTAGGGGCCTAAATAATTAGGATAGTTAGGGTGTTCCTTGAAAGGGGGTATTTAAATGGGGCTGTAGGGGGTCTATACTAGGGTTCTATACTATTTTGGGGGTTCCTGATCATAGTTATAGTAAAATGGGCCACAAAATTGTAAAGGCTGTATATTTCTCGTGCATTGTCTTTGTAGCGTTCAGGATTTTCCTGCATTAGCTTCGAGGGTCTCGGCTTAGGGTCAGCCCCACTCCCTGAACGCAGAAGTCTTCAAATCCTTGCATATCTACTTAGGGGTACTTAGAAATATATTTTCATTTTTGGTTATTAAAATCCCTAAGAAACAGCTAAACTTATAATTTGTTGCTAGGGTTCTAAGTTCAGTATAGTCTAGAGGGTCCCTGCATACTACCATGATGGCATTAGGTCCAACACGACCATCCTCAGGGTTGTTTTTTTGGCGCCTAAGTCTAAAGGGAACTCCAGAAAGTTGGAATATGGTTTCAGAGTAGGATACCTTATAATTTACCATAAAGGGTTTAGGATAACCATATTCCAACTTTCTGGCTTTTACTTTGTAACGGCGGTACATGTGGACCCTCCAGGAAATGCAGCTCAACGGTTGCACAAACTGCACAAAGGCTGGGGTTTAGAGCTTCAAGCTTCACAGGAACCACCATCCAGCGAGGCCGGCACACTTGATCAACCTATGGTGAAACCCAGAAAGTTGGAACATCGATTTAGGATGATTCATGCCGGGATTTCCTCAAACTTTACTTCATGGGCATGAGGATAATGATGTTCCAACTTTCTGGCTTCTACTGTAAGCCCTACAACTTAAGCCTTAAAGCCCTACCGAGACCTGAAATCATGGAGGCTGGAATCATGAATAATGTCGTAATGTCGCCACCCCCCTCCTTCTCCACAGACCGTTAGCTTTCTGAACTGTTTTGGGGTTCAAGGTAGGGTTTCTGGTTCCGTAAACCCTGAACCCCAATCCATAAGAAGCCTGCAGCTTAAGCCCTAAATCCTAGACCCTAAACCCCAAAGCCCCAAAGCCCCAAGCCCTTAACCCCTAGAGATTCCATCCCAGTCTCCTGACCCAATCAGGACGGCTTCAAGTTCTCAGTGCTATTCAGGGTTTAGGGTTGGAGTGTTTTTAAGGCTTTCCTTAATCCCAACTCCCAAACCCTTAACCCCAAAGGCCCAAACCCCAATTCCTAAACCCGAAACCCCTAGATTCCGCCGACGCTCCAAGTAGATTCCTTCCCAGTCTCGCCTTCTACGGCTGCTCCTGCATGGCTTTGCTGGCCCGGGGACACCACGCGGCCGCGGACGCTGGGACTTCGCACGAGTAATGCAGCTTAGGGTTTAAGGTTCAGGGGCTTTAGGGTGATATCTCTAATATCGGGGCCTGAATGATTACGATAATTAGGATTTTGGGGGGTATAGATATTATTAGGGGCCACTAAAAAGTATAGGTGTTTATTCAGGCCCTGTTCGAATTCTAAACGCTAATTTTGCTTAGACGCTGAACTTGCAGTAGTTTCGGATGCCCTTGCTTTCTTATTGCCGGATCCTAACCAGAAAGCTGGCTATCCAAGATAGCAGGTACTACTAGTGCGAGCCTGTGTCTAGGGCAAGGGCGCACCCCCCCGCCCCAATTGCCCTTTTAAAGGGCTCTTATGGATCTTACTTAATGGCGGGTATTGAGGCTACAGTAGAGAGTAGTTGGGGCAGGGTGCCGAATCTCCGACATGGATGCAATCAAGACCTTAAGTATAGTGGTTGGGATGAATAGAACTATCTTTCTATAAGCTCCAGACCTTACATTTGAGCTTTCAAGCCTATAGAGGCTCATTTTTGAAGAATGGCATCGGGCCTGTATCACTCGCATACCGACCTCATTCCCCACTTCTAAACCCTAAGCCCGTCATCTAGGAGCTTTTCTCATAGGAATAGGGTTTGTGGGTATAGTATACTATATTACTACAATTACAATAAGGAGCCCGAAAATGGTATCGATATTTTTTCAAGCACCTATAGTAATCTTGTATCCAAGGAACGCATTTCAAAGCACCACGGCGCCAAGATCATCGTCCGAGCCGCCCGACTTGGTTCGACAGAGGTATTGAACATAGGGTTCATGATCCAGGGTTAATGATTCAGGGTTGAGAGTTTAGGGTTTACATGACTTATGGGCAGTGTCGGTGTTTGCTTCCACCGGCGGCTGCTTCCAGATCGTTTTTACTTCGGGCGCTTGAGGGGTTGCCAGTTCCAACCCAGCAACTGAACCCAGAGAGCCCCTTACCCATTAATTGAGGAACATGGGAGTTCCCGAAAATAGGGGACTTTAATATAGTACCCTGAATAGTAGGATCCTTATAAGGACCCCAGACCAATGTACCCCCAATTTTCGGAAACTCCCATATACCTTAATTTAGAAGCCGGCCCCATTTTATGGTTGAAGCTATATTCCTTAGTTAAGGGGCATTGGGCTTTCTGGGAGGCTTGTACATGTATGTGCAATAACCCTAATTGTTCTAATCATTAAGGCCCCTATATGTTGCTTTTGTAGAATGCCTCGAAGTACAGCTGTTAGAAATTAGTACCCCAACCCCAAACCCCATGCTAATTATTCAGGCCCCGTTATGGCTCATTATAACCTTAAGGACGAAATGAACCCTAAAAGGGTTTAAGGTTCATATACCATATAGGGATTCATAGTATATGGATCTTGGGCCCCTACTTTTAAGGGTCATTTGGTCCTTCAGGTAAGTCCCGAAGTACCGCACTGAGCCTCCAAGCGACGCCTCTAAGGCTTTGCGGAGGGGTTTGGGGTTTACTTGTGGGGTCAGAGGACTTGGTGAGTAGCTATTGTAGGGACTTATAAGTATCATTGTCATACCCCCAATTATAAGGGTCCCATTCAGGGAACTTATAAGCCTACTTATGATCCACTTGCTAAGTTCGCCGACCCTCCAAGTCGGGATTGAAAATAGAACCATTGAGGAGATGTGCTGAAAGCTAGCTTCCTCTCACTCTCGCAAGCTCGAAACGGGTTTAGAGTTTATGTTTGGGGAGGGATAGAGTGGATAGAGGGTACAGCATATTACGCACGTCTAAAGTCTAAAGCCTAAACCGTAAACCCGAGACCCTACCCCCCCAAGTCATAGCTACATCATGCTTAGAGGCTATGCTCGTCAAGCGCGAGCGGCGGGATCTCCAGGAGACTGTTTTCGGCCGCTTCATTTGTGCAGTGAAGAAGATGGTGGTCCTTGAAGAGACCATGAACTCTAAAAGGGTTTAAGGTTCATCTGCCATATACGGGTTTTGTTGTGCAGTACAAGAGTATAGGGCCCATATACTTTCAAGGGTCATTTGGTCCTTCAGGGTCATGAATGGGTTTCGGGCTCAGGGTCTGGAGTTTAGGATTGAGGGTGATTGCTGAGATGATGATGATGATGCTGATGATGATGATGATGATGATGACGAATGGTGACAAGCATTAACGCCGAAGATGATGGCAAGGCTCCTGTTGATCATGCTGGTCATATTTGCCAAATAAATCATCATTTGCTTTTACTATGGTTCCGATGGCGATGGCGATGCTGACGATGATGATGATGATGTTGGTGATGATGATGATGATGATGATCTTCATGATCATGATGACGAAGACGATATCGAAGACTCCGGCGCCGCTGACGACGACGACTGTTGAGAAGACTGCGAAGAATAAGATCCTGAAGCAGACAACACAGGCGACGGTGACTTGTTCTTCGATTGCGACTGCTTTGTTTATCAGCAGTTCTTTGATGGTTACTAACGGCTCTTGGATCCGTTGTTGCTCCTTCGAAAACTGTTACTGTGCTTTCCCGCGGCAATCATAGACCTCCTCTTCTGCCGGAGCCATTGGCTGAGTCGGGGCAAGTCGCACTGTGGCGCGTGCAGCATGACGCAGCAGGGTGGGAAATATTGTCAACATTTCATCTCTTAGGAATTATGATATGTTCTGTGTTCTGACAAAAGTCCGAGGGTTTTTGTTGCAGTGACTGTTATTCTTACAGTTCTCAGACCGCTTAAGCATGAAGATCGAGCTTTGCCGAATTCTCTTCGTGACGTCATGCCGATGATGGAATTGTCATGCCTCTGACGGTTGAAGTCAGCCTCTTGGTAGCTGTATGAGTACACTTCACACTTTTTGGGATAATAAAACCCCCTACAGAACTGAGGGGAATGAGGACATTGTATACTTTTTGGGATGGTCTAACACCCTCTATGGAACTGAAATTGGACACCTCATTGGGGGCCTATGAACGCAGCAACTCAGGCCTCATAAGTGGCAAGAGGATCTTTTTGGAGGCCATGCTGGGCGCAAATCTACTTAAAGGACTTAGTAGGTAGATCATAATTGGGGTTATAAGTCCGCTAAGTGGGGTTAACCTATTTAAAACCTGACTCACTAAGTCCCATGAGCCTTCAAGTAAGCTTGAAGCCAGGGGCCCCAGTATGGGCCCTTTGCGCAGGGACTCCTATACACCTACTATAGACCCTTAGTATGTAGCCTTAAGGGTCCCTAGAGTCCCTACAAGGCCTAAGGCTCCATCTTTTGGTCCATACCCTTTAGCCTTAGAGCAAAAGACCACCGTGATACTATAGAAGCCCTAAATCCTAAACCCCAAACCCAAAAAAAAAAACCTCAACCCTAAACCCTACCTCAATAACTACAAATCGTATATGTAGGATTCTTTCATTACCCCAAACCTAGGATCATCAGGTTTAGGTGCTTTCTGGGCCCTGTATAGGTGGAACCGGAGGAATCCGTGAAATCTCTGCAGCTGCGCGCCCAGAAAGCTCTCGGAGCTGGCAGGGGTCGGCTCTTGAATTCCGCTGGGTGCATCCTGGATGGTTGCTTGGTCTGAGCTCCTTAATCCTTTTTTGTAAGGCTCCTTTCAAGTAAGGGCTCGAAATAGATGAATGAATATACATGTCTGAATGTATGCATATATATATATATATGAGCGCTTAGGGTTTAGGGTTCCATGTGGTGTTTGGGTTCGGGTAGTAGCTAGGACCTAGGATCTTCACTTGTTTGGTCTCCTTAGGGTTGTTATTGTTGCACTACATTTGGGTGTCATTTTTGCTGCCGTGCTTTTGGGGCTCCATACCCTGTGATGAAAGTACATGGAGACTCCTAACAACAGGAGCATCCTACAGGCTTTCTAGGGTGTACAGTAGCCCTATAATGGACCATATAATGGGTATAAAATAGCTATATTAAGGGTATATACCTAGGGGTCCTTATTAAGGGTCGCTCCTTTTACCCTTGGATTTACTTGAACCGTTACCTACAGTAGAAGCCCAAAAGTTGGAAACGCCAGAGCCTTCATCCTTAAGAATAATGTATAGGGAATCCCAGCACTATTTGGCCTTAATCCGTTTTCCCACTTTATGGGGCTTACTATAGGGTTTAGGGTTCTCAGGTAGATTCGTTAAGCCGGGCGTTTTAGAGTGTCTGGGACATACGGCTGATGGACAAAATCCTGCATAACTCTAAGGAGTCTAAACTAGGGGAACTATGGTATATTCCTTATAATGGGCAACGCAGGTTTTTGTCCATCAGCAGTAAGGACAAGCAGCTGTCAAAGAGGTTGGGCTGCAGAACGGTGATCTGCTCACGCTTAATATTGCAAGAGTTCAACTGTCGTGTACTGCAAATGCCTTTGGAGGAATCCTGGGTGACGGCTCCTGGGCTTTTTCTCGCACAAGCTTTCAGCTTTTCGTTATAGTATCCTATAGCCCCCCAACAGGACTTCAAATCGTTGGCAGACGTACATACTATGCATCGAGACCCCAAAACCATAAAACCTAAAATCCGAAACCCTAAACCCGGCCCCTATATAACACACCCTACACACGGTAGTCCGAAAAAGCTCTAAAGTAGTAAGTAGGTTATAATTGGGGTTTTCAAGTCCCCTAAGTGGGGCTATCCTATAACCTACATATAGCCTTACGTACTAAGTCCCATGACCCTTTAAGTACTCTAGACCCTTCACCTGTGTAAAAGCCGAGCACCTCTGCCTTTGGGGCTTAGGCTTAAATAGTTGCCAATATTGTTCCGCAGGGTTCCCTTTTAAAATTACCCCTATACTAAACCCTCATAATACCCCTTGTACTACTCCTTGTAGACCCGTTTTTTAGAGGAGCCCGTAAAGGAGCCCCCTATTCTACCTAACAAGGCCCCTATAGTATGCCCCGGGCTCTCTCGAGGATCCCTTGTCACTTGGGGTGCTTTTGCCTGCGGTGGCGACAAGAGTCTTCTAGGTGGGAGTTTCCGAAAATGAGGCAGTTATAAGGGTTGAAGGCTGAAGGATACCCGAGGGTTCCTTTAACGGATTACTATAAGGTTTCCTGCAAAGGGCTCTATAAGGGTTTTGTGTTTCCGAAAATGAGGGGTACCTTATTTTGGGGTCCAAATGACAGGATCCTACTATTCAGGTACCATATTCGGGTCCCCTGTTTTCGGAAACTCCCCTTTTAGGTCACTTGAATGTGGAGCAGGTTCAGGCATCCAAGAGACCTGGTATGGATGTTGTTAACTTTTTATGTTATCTACCAGGATGGCTGGAAACCTCAAAGAATAGGCAAGCAACGCTCTGCACCCCGAAAATTCAAACAGCTACTTCCTAAAATTCCAACCCCTCAACCCTGAACCCCCGAGTTGTACCTGATTTTGCTCCCGAACCCTAAACCCCTTAACCCTCAACCCCGAGTTGCACGGAGATATTTAGAGCAAGACCCAGGGGAGCATTCGCTGCAGTTCTGGCTGATGGATCCGTCGTGACCTGGGGCCGTCCCGACCCTTAGAAGTTCAAGGGGTCCAGGCAGGTTCAGGGCGCAGGATTGGGGGTTAAATCCTTAGGAGCTCAGTTTGCGAACTTTGTTTTGGCGGCGGGAGGCTACGGTCTCACGGCTTTGTGAATTTCCTGGTTCAGGGCTCGGTATCTTGGTATCTTCACATTATACTTAAAGGCTCTTGGGACTTAGTAAGTAAGGTTATGTGAGTTATATGTATGTTATGATTAGGGTAACCCCACTTAGGGGACTTGAAAACCCCAGTTATAACCTACTTACTCAGTCCCATGATCCTCTAAGTATGATCTTAGACCTTAAGAATAAGGTTTTGGGGTCCATTATACTACTATAATTACAACAAGGAGCCCTCAAAATGGTATTAATTCCTTAGGCCCCTACATTAGGCCCATGTCGAAACTGAGAGTTTGAACTCCAAGAAAACTGGGCAGCGAAGGACTTTGGTGGCGACAGCAGTGCTGTTCAAGTACGGCTGAAGCTTATGGATACATAGAAATATTTTTGTCTTTGGTTAATATAACCCCGAAGAAACATCTAAATTTCTTAGAAACATGTTTTAATCTTTGGTTATTATAATCCCTAAGAAGCAGCTTAATTTGTAATTTTTGCTAGGGGTCTAAGTTCAGCATAGGAAGCGTGTGCAGCAGATACAATCAACTCGGACAGCATTTGCTGCTATCGTGGGCGATGGATCCATCGTGACGTGGGGGCATGCGTATTTTGGTGGCTTTAGCGATTCTGTCCGTGATGAGCTAAAGAATGTCCGCCACATCCAAGCAACTAGTACAGCCTTTGCTGCGATCCTGAGCAACGGATCCGTCGTGACATGGGGCGATGTGGACTTCGGTAGTGACAGTGATGCCGTGCAAGATCAACTGAAGAATGTGCAGCAGATCCAAGCAACTGGTGTAGCATTCGCTGCGATCCTGCGTGATGGGTCTGTCGTGACCTGGGGTGATGCTTTAGGTGGTGGTGACAGCAGCGCCGTTCGAGATATGTTGAGGGATGTGCAGCAGATCCAAGCAACTAATACAGCTTTCGCCGCGATCCTGGGCGATGGATCCGTCGTAACCTGGGGCGACGCGTTGTATGGTGGTGACTGCAGCGCAGTGCGAGATCAGCTTAGGAATGTGCAGCAGATCCAGGCAACTTATTCAGCATTTGCCGCTATCCTGCAGGATGGATCAGTCGTGTCCTGGGGCGGTGGTGGTGGTTGTGGTGGTGGCGACAGCAGCGCTGTGCGAGATGAGCTGAAGAATGTGCAGCAGATCCAAGCCAGCGAGTTTGCTTTTGCGGCGATCTTAAGTGATGGATCCCAGGCTGTTCAGTGGTACACTTGTTTACTTTCAGGGTTCTGGGTTCCTATTAAAATTATAAAATAAGAAACCTAAAAAAGGTATATACTTTTTCCCAGTGGGTTACTGAACAGCCTAGGATCCGTCGTGACTTGGGGTCCTGTAGACTCTTTGTCATTGTTGGGTAACATTTTCGACTTTTATGGGTACTTAAACCCAGTAAGGAATAACAATGTACATTTTTAATCCTATCTCAACAATGAACGAGGACTCTGGCGGTGACAGCGGAGCCATACGACATCATCTTAAGGACGTGCGCCAGATTCAAGCAACTTCTCGTGCTTTTGCCGCAATCTTGGGCGATGGGTCTCTTAGGGATACTTAGAAATATTTTTTGTTATTATTATCCCCGAGAAACAGGTGGTACTTAGAAATAATTGCTACTTTCTGGTTATTATAATCCCTAAGAAACAGCTAAAATAGTAATTTTTGCTAGGGTTCTAAGTTCAGTATAGGTCTGTGGTGACTTGGGGTCATGCTGACTCTGGCGGTGACAGCAGGTCGGTCCAAAATCAGCTCCAAGATGTGCAGCTTAGATCCCCAATGCCCAACCTTTGAACTTTTTTGGGTTCTTCTAGTTTAATATGGGAGTCGGAAAGTTTAACCTTGTATTTCTGTGGTTTGTTGGGAGAGTGAGGCAGCAGATTCAAGCCACTGACCGTGCTTTTGCTGCAATCTTGGGCGATGGTTCAATCGTGACCTGGGGCGATGCGGTGGCTGGTGGTGACAGCAGCACTGCGCTTGATCAGTAACTGTGATGGGCCGTCCGCACCAGCCAACAGAACCCTTGGAGCTGTGTTCGTGCAGAAAATACCTAAACCCTGAACCCAAGGCCGTGTATGGAGGGGCCCATAGGGTTCTGCATTCAAGGGGTCTAGGGCTTAATTGTAGGAGCTTGCAGCGTAGGGGTTCAGAGTTTGGGATCATTGGGTTTCGGGTTTAAGTTCAAGGGTTTAGGGTTTAGGATTTAGGGTTTAGGGGTTAGGGTTTAGGAGGGTTTAAGGGGGTTCAAGGGGGTTTATTGGGTGTTTAAGGGGTTCGGGGTTTAGGGGTGCAAGGGGTATAGACCCTCAACCCTTTCTAAGCCATGAACCTTTATGATAGAACTGATCTTACAGGACCCTTAGAAGGAACCCCATTGGACACCCTGAGCCCCGAACCCATAGATACACCATTCCTTAGTTCTGAGTGTTCCTCTAAATTTTCTATAATGTACCCCCCAATACCCTAAGGATCAAATGGCCCTCAAAAGTAGGGGACCCATAACCCGTATACCATTAATCCATACAGTAAGAGGATGATCACGCCCTTTTAGGGTTCACTTCGTCTTTCAGCAAAACCTTATGAACGCATACAGCTTCAATCACAATGTGAAGCCCGTCATAGCTATATTCCCGCCATATTGGACTCTCTGGGTTAGGCTTGCTTCACTATAGTATACCACCCAAACCCAGGTTATAGATGGAGGATCTAATTAGGTCGCGAAGGACCATCCTTATTTATCCTAGCACCCTAAACCCCTAAAACCTAAAACCCTAAACCCGTAAGCCCTAAAACCCTATTGCAAATCGTGCTGGGCACTAGGAGAGCGCGCTTGAAGCACTTCGCTCGGTATCGGCGGACAACGCCCTGGGGCCCAGTCTTACAGAGAATGTGCGGTTTGAGGCTTCCTTCAAGGGTTCTTTCCGGGTCTTCGGGTTTAAGGGTTGGGGTTTAGGCAGCTGATGCTGAAGTATGAACTATATGGGTTTAGGGTTTAAGGGTTCAGAGATGGTCACATTGACCCGAATGGTCCTAAGCACCTATATGGGGGATACTTGCCGAAACCAAGATAGTTATTCCTGTCATAGCAAGGCTGCGTTCCACTACATACCCTAAGGGTCCATGTACTCATATAGTATATACATTGGCCTTAAAGTACTCCCTATATAGGTACATTGGGCCCAAAGTACATGCTGTATGGGTACATGGACCCTTAGGGATAGCTACTTCGGGCCCTTTAGGAGAGACCAGAAAGTTACGTAACCTACATGGTTTAGAGTGGAGTGCACAGGGTGTCGGAATTTTAGGTTCTCAGGACCTGTATAGGGTATGGGATTCAGGGTTTAGTGTTTAGGTTATGCTCCTCAGAGTATGGTGTGAATCCGTACCAAGGCACCACAAGGCACCTGAGACTCAAGTGCAATATCGGAGTCCGATCAAGGGGGGTGTTCTACGGTTTCAGGCTCATTGCTAGGACTTCTGAGAAACATGCGGGCCGCGAGGTTGACAAAATCTGCTGGCAAGTTCCCCTTGTCGAATCGGGGCCCTTATATTCGGAGGAAAGATGAGCCTGTAGCTCACTGATGTACGTTAGCGTTTCTCGTGGCATTATGTCGCCTTTAGGGTACAAGGATTGGTCTAGTTAGGGTTCAAGTCTCACAACGAAGTTGCACCTTGGCAAGCTTGAAAATGTTGCACGGTGTACGATGCTTGATCTCTTGGCCGTATGTTTGTTCCAAAACCAGAGAGGGACAAGGCGAACTTCCTCAAGGCCAGCATGCTGAAGGAGATGAAGAGGTCGAACCAGAAGGTGGACGTGCTGCTGATCTTCGCGGCGCCGATGATTGCCAAGAACATGGACAGGATCGGACCACCACAGAGCAGAGGACCAGGTGCGTGAACGTGTTGAAGGAGTACGCCTCGCAGAAGAAGGAGTTGGTGGCCGACTTGCTGACGAAGGGGTCCGGGCGCATGTACACGGCGGACGTGGTGGGGGCATCGCTCGTCTTCCCTAAACCCTAAACCCTAACCCCTGAATCCTAAACCCTAAACCCTACAACGAGATCAAGTTGGATAAGCTTAAACCCCTGTATATGGGAGTTTCCGAACATTCGGGGTACTTTATTTTGGAGTCCTTATAATAGGGATCATACTATTCAGGGTACTATATTAGGGTCCCCAATTTTCGGAAACCCCTGTATCTCACCTTAAGCCCCCTTAATTCTGAGCCGTCAGCCTGAATCCGAAACCTCAGACCCTTGACCCTAAGACCCTGACGCCCCAAACCTAAACCCCATATTATATGGGAGTTTCCAGAATTAGGGGTACATTATTTAGGGTTCCTTATAATAAGGATCCTACTATTAGGGACCCCTATTTTTGGAAACTCCCATATGACCCTAGAACAATAAAACCTAAAAAGCCTAATTGCACCCTAAAGCTTGGAACCATCAACCCATGAACCCTTTAAATCGAGCCGCCTTAAAAGCTCATGGAACTTGGTAGGTAGGGTTATACGTGCACTAAGTAATGTCATATCCTAATTACAACCTGAGTTAAAGCCGTACTTACTAAGTCCCTTGTGCCTGTAAGTACCTTGGCCAAAAGCTTTGGATTCCTCCAATAACTGAGGAGGAGGTACCTGGAGAGATCTCTGACGTCGGAGGTGTCCAGTTTGCCAGGGGCCCAAAAAGTTCAGGAGTTAGGGCGTAGCCGTTTTGAGGGTTTTGCTTGTAAGGTTTTCGGCCTGTGTGTTTAGGGTTTAGTACTGCTGACTGCTTATGGTCCCTTATCCTCATGCCTTAAGGTAAAGTATAAGGGATCCTAGTACTCATCCTCCTTGTGCCAACTTTCT